AGGAGAGGTCCAAGACTCTATTTAATTGAGTTGTGCTAGGATTTCTTCCCTGAATATAGCTTCCCATTCAAAATGTATAATCCTTAATTTTCTCTGTGACCCCAATACTACACAAAGCAACTCAAATTTTAGACTTAGCTACAAAAGTACAAGTGACTAAGATACTTATTTATGGGAATACTCCTCCATATCTTTTCATGACTTGATAACTCATTCATTTCTTTTCCTTTTTTGTTTTTCTCTGTGGTTCTAGAGATTGAAAGCAGGGAAGATCTACCACTGACCTATTATTTTAGCCCTTTTTATTTTTAATTTTTTTCAAGGCTTTGACATATTATTACTCACTCACTCTTTGGCAGCGGCAGGTCAAGGTACAATAGAAAGCTGCACTTTGCCTACAAGCAAGGGGAACATATAGGATAAGTTGCGTGCCCACTGCACAGGTGAATTTCCTCAGATGTTTTATGAGTATATTACTTTGCTTTAAAACTTATAGATCCTCAAGGGGCAGTGTCTCATGCCTGTAATCCCAGAGATCTGGGAGTCTGAGGCAGAAGGGCAGCAAGTTGAGGCCAGACTTAGCAACTTGGCGAGGCCCTAGGAAACTTAGCAAGACCCTGTCTCAAAAAAGATTAACATTAAACAGGGACGAGAGGTGGGAGGGAAAGGGAGAGAGAAGGGAAATTGCATGGAAATGGAAGGTGACCCTCATTGTTATACAATATTACATATAAGAGGATGTGAGGGGAAAGGGGAAAAAATATCAAGGGAGAGAAATGAATTACAGTAGAAGGGGTAGTGATAGAAGATGGGAGGGGAGTGGAGGGGAGGGGGGATAGTAGAGGATAGGAAAGATAGCAGAATACAACAGTCACTAGTATGGCAATATGTAAAAACGTGGATGTGTAACCGATGTGATTCTGCAATCTGTATACGGGGTAAAAATGGGAGTTCATAACCCACTTGAATCAAATGTATGAAATATGATATTTTCAAGAGCTTTGTAATGTTTTGAACAACCAATAAAAAATAAATAAATAAAAAAACCCCTGTCTCAAAATTTAAAAAATAAAATAAGAAGGGCTGGGGATGTAGCTCAGTAGTAAAGTGTCCCTGGATTACAGGTCCTGTAACCTGCGCCCCCCCCCCCCCAATTATTCCTTTAGTTAGGAAGCCATATAAAAATTATGTACAAAGTAATTTCAGGTTTTTCTCAAAATGTTTGTATGCATACTTTTTGCCCTTTTGTACTGATATTTAGATATTTAAAGGTTGTTATACTACCATTATCTAAAGTCAACATCCAATTGATGTCCCTACATCAAAGACAGTGAAACCTCATGATTAAATCTACTTCTTGAAGTACTTATCATAACCAAAAAGTGGTTAAGTGGCTAATTTATGTGTGTGCTGGGGATCAAAACAAGAGCCTGGCACATGCTAAGCATGTGTCCTACCATTCAGTTATATCCCAGCCAAAAAACTGGATGTGATGGCTAATTTTGTGTGTTAACCTGACTGGGAAATGGGGTGCTCAGATATTTTGTCAAGTGTTATTCTGGTGTGTCTGTGAGGCTGTTTCTAGATGAGATTGACAGTTGAATCATTTGGTAAACTGAATAAAGCACCCGGATGTGGCTGGCCTCATTCAGTTAATGAAGGCCTGGCACTGGGAGGTAGCTCAGTGCTAGAGCACATATTAGCACGTACAAGAACCTAGGATTGATCCCTAGCAACACATATATACACATACAACCAATGAATGCCTGAATAGAGCAAAAAACCTGAGTAAGAACTCCCTCTGTCTGCCTGTCTTTGAGCTGAGACCCTGGTCTTATCCTATCGTTGAACTCAGATTTGGACTCAGAACGGAATGATACCATTGGCTTTCTAGCTTGCTAACTCAAGATCTTGGGGTTTCTCAGCCTTCATAATCACATGAGCCAATTCCTTATAATACATTTGGTGAGTGAGTGGGTGGGTGCCAAATCAAGTGCAAGGTTTTCTGGGGAATTCAGAAATAATATTGTTGTCTTTGATAACTTCAACCAGCCAGCTCAAGGGCAGACTGCCTAGACTGATCGCTTTGCAACCTGCCAGTTAGTTCATTTGCTTCCTGAAAAATGCACATGATTCACCATGGCGTCTCAACATCCCACCTATCCACCCCTTTTAAAAATTCACCTTTTAAATTTCTTTTATTTTTTTACATGTCTTGACATTCACCTATTGACTCTTCTTCATATGAGTAAATAAATAGTTTACATATAATTTACTGCCTCCATGTTATTCCAAAAGTGAGTATATATAAAAAGAAGTTGCCAAAAGGCTAAAACTTGGGGCATTCAATTTTGGGGGGAGGTACTGGGAATTGAACCCAGGGATGCTTTGCCACTGAATTACATCCCCAGCCCTTTTTATTTTTTTTATTTTGAGATAGGGACTCATTAACTTGCCAAGGCTGGTCTTGAATTTGCAATCCTCCTGCCTCAGCCTCCCAAATTGCTGGGATTACAGGTGTGTGCCACCATGCTTGGCCTTCATTGCTTTCTCTCTATGTACATAATAAATATTTGTCTCCACTTTTTAATGTAGAAGACCCCAGAATAATAAGTACTGTTCTCCGTTTTGTTTTGCTAAATAATATACGTATGCAAGAATACTTATAAATAAACTTTGGAAAAGGACTTGCTGAATATGTATTTTTGCAACATTGATACATTGATAGATGGTTCTCAATGGCCACTCATAATATGAGTTGAATCAATTTGCACTTCTACAAACCAAGACCCTCCTCCGATCTCAGTGTGATCAAACTTTAGGATTTTTTTTTTCGTATTGGGGATTGAACCCAGGGGTGCTTTACCACTGAGCCACATCCCCAGTCTTTTTGTTTTTTATTTTGAGACAAGGTCTCGCTAAATTGCTTAGAGCCTCACTAAGTTGTTGAGGCTGGCTTTGCATTTGTGAGCTTCCTGCCTCAGCCTCCCAAGCTGCTGGGATTACAGGCATGTGCCACTGCTCCTGGCCTCAAACTTTTGGATTTTTAATAACTAAAAAAGTAGAAAATAGTATCTTAGAGTATATGTCCTTTTTTTTTTTTTTTGGTACTGGTGGGGATTGAACCCAGGGGTTCTTTACCACTGAGCTGCATTTGTTTCCCTTTTTATTTTGATTCAGGGTTTTACTAAGTTGCTTAGGGCCACACTAAATTGCTGAGGCTGCCCTTGAATTTGCCATTCTCCTGCCTCAGCTTCACCTTGGGATTACAGGTGTGCACTACTGTACCTGGTTTAAGAGTATATGTCCTTTTTAAAGATGAGAGCTATGAAAGCATATGAATATGCTGTAGGAAAAAAAAGCCTGATAATTCAGAGGGGAGAGAGAAGGGAAGTAATTTTAGGAGCAGAATCCTTTACTAGGCTGAAGGAATGGGATTTACTTCATCAGTGATTCAATCAGTTGGTATAGATGCAGGGGGGTTTGGTACAAGTTTGGGGAGCTAAACCAAGGGCAAGTCTCTTCTAATTGCTTTTCAGGTGAAATAAGGTTACAAGTCAGTTGAGCCAGGATAGGAGTAGAAGTTTTGAAAATTTGAGAGAATAGATATGAATTGCTTTTCTTGGAGTGGGAGAGGAAACTGCTCAGGGAAATATAAGATTGTTGGGTGGCACTGAGGTCCCCTTGAGGATTATAGCACTAAAAGTGAACTTTGGTGGGGTGCTGGAGGTCCATGCCTATGATCTCAGTGACTGGGGTGACTGAGGCAGGAGGTGAAAACTTCCAGATCAGCCTCAGAAATTTAGGGAGACTCTGTTTCAAAATAAAAAATTAGAAGAAAAATGGCCCTTAGGTTTAATCCCCAGTACCAATGAATGAATGAATGAATGAATGAATGAATGAATAAAAGGTGAACTGTGAAGGACAAGGAACTGCCATGGATGAGAAAAGTCACTGCTTTAGGGAGAACTGAATAAAAGCAAATTAAAACAAAAGCATTTATTGAGAATTCATTTAACAAATATTTATTTATAAGGATTTCTTGTGCAGATCACACGTATATTCAAGTCTGTTGGTCACACAAGCTGATTAAAGTAAGGCATTCATTGTGCAACAAAAGCATAAAAAGTCCCTATTGGACTCTTTAAATGAATATTTCTGAAATTTGAAGTGCAGTGGGGAAGAGTTTTCAGATTCTTTTTGACAGACTGAACCAACAATTTCACAGAAAAACATGCACATACACAAACTGCAGATAATTTCAGGTGGTCTTATAGCCACAAATTAAGAATACTCTCCCCTGAATTTACAGCCCTATTTTATTAAAACATTTTTTTTTTTTTTGGTACTGGGAATTGAACCTGGGGGCACATACCCCTGAGCTGCATCTCCAAACCTTTTTATTTTTTATTTTCTGACAGGGTCTCATTAAGTTGCTGAGGGTAGCCTCGAACTTGTGACCCTCCTGCCTTAGCTTTCCGAATAACCCTATTTTAAAACGGTATATCATTCTTGTATATTGTATATGATTCAATTTCACAAGACTTTTTTTTTTTTTTTTTTTTTTTTTTTTAATGAGTAACTTCATAGCTGTGTACTGGATATCTCAACAAAGGCTAAGAATTTGAAATAATTTTAGGTTTAACAAGACCGATGGAAAAATAGGTTAGCGTTACCCTATACTCTTCATCCAGAATCTCGAAGGTTAACAAGATAACCGGAGTTCAAATATGGAAATTATTAATTTAATACTATTAATTAATATTATGCAAATTTCATCAGTTGTCCCATTCTAATTCTTTTTCAGTCCTAGGATCCCAATCCAGGATTTCATGTTACTTTTACGTGTCACAGGCCTTGCTTTTTTTTTTAGTTTTATTCTAATTTCTGACTTAATGGCTGTCATTTAATGTCTCTGACTCAATTTACCGCTCAATAGATGTAATGAAGCTGTTTAAAAAATTTTTTGGAATGGCTATGGAACTTTTGAGGGGAGAAAATATTTTTTCCTCGTTCAAAGCTGGGAGTATATATTCAGCTTGTGTGTGTGTATGTCCAGAGCAAAACATAAACAAGACAAACAAGCGTATTAAAGTTGTCCAGGTAATTTGTCCTAAACTAGGACCTGTAGTTTCTCCCTCAGCCGCCGGGAGAAGCTTCTTCTAATTGGGCCGCGGCGTCCGCCATGACGCAGGAGGGCCGCCTCATTGGTCCGCGCACTCAGGACTCCGGCAGCTTTTCTCTTGGGTGCTCTGGGCGCCGACCCACTTCTCTCCCTCTAAGTCAGCGCTCCGTTCTTTCTGGTGCCCGGAGCTGCTAGCCCAAAGGGATCCAGACTGAACTAGTCCGGGTAAATGCACTGGGGTCAGCCGGGAGGAAGCGATGGGCGTGGAATATGGGTGGAACGGTGGTTTGCGAGCCTCGATAAAACTGCCTTGTCTTCGAGTCTCCCACGGACCCCGCCACTTCCCTGCTCCACCTCTCTACCGACCCCAACCTCCCCCCGGCCTTCTCCCGGATCTCCCAAGGCTGGGGCACCCCTCCGCCGCCCTTCCGGGGACCCCGCCTCCTTCGCTCACCCCTCAACCGGCTCCGCCCCCTTGCGCTCTTTTCAGCAGCCCCGCCTTTTCTGCGCTCCCCTCTGCTGGCCCCACCTTCTCACCCCGGCCTCCCCATTGACCCCGCCCTCGCCACGTCTATTGGTCCGCCCCTCGCCTCCTCCCTTACACGGTCCCGCCTCCCCTCTGCACCCTCTTCGGTCTGTGCTGTGAGCGGGCGCGGCTTCTTTAGGTCCTCTCTACCCTCATGCGGTTTTTTGTCCCATTCCTGGCTTGCCCACTTCCCTTAAGTTTGGTTCTGCTCCTCCCTAGAACCTGCACTTTCTCTTAATTAGCCTTGCTTCCTTTGCACCATATTCCCGGTCTGACTGTCGGGGTCGCGGGATTCAGTGATTCATCATCCTTTGGGGCGTTTTGCTGGGTGTTGGAGATCCGGATTAGTTGTTGGATGTTTCTTCTTTCCAGAGCTCTCTCAGCCTGTGGGAGAGTCATTTTGTAATGAAGTGTAACAGGCCCTGTGAGAAGTCTTCATGAAGACAGCATAATGTCGGGATGCTTTGAGGAAGAAATACTAAAGGGTTAGGCGTTTTTTTTTGTTTTTGTTTTTCCTTTTTTAACTATTCCTGTTGGATCCTCAAAAAAGCCTGTAAAGGGGCTAAACTGCACTTTCCCCCAAAATGCCTTTGGCTGCTTGTGATGCAGAACACTGGCTTTGTGGTCCTTTAAATACTTGGTTTTTATTAAAATCTTGGCATCGACACTAGTTTTAACTAGTCAGAATTAGTAGGGCTTTGGAGACCATCCAAGTTTGCAGTGAGACAGCTTGACTTAGATTCAACATCATACTTTAAAAAAATACATATATTTATATTTGTAAATGGACACGATATCTTTATTTAATTAATTTTCATGTGGCACTGAGGATGGAACCCAGTGCCTCACACTACTAGGGAAGCACTCTGCCACTAAGCCACAACCTGAGTCCCCAGCATCACACTTTTTATGGTCCTTTTTGAAGTATTTCCTTAGGATTCTTACTGAAGTTTTCAATTACTAATTACTTGGTAGGCAAACTGAAACTAAGCATAGATAAAATCACAAGTCAGTAATGTAAACACAGTTTCTACTTTGGAACAATAGATACTAGTACAATATTCGGAAGACAGTAACTCATCCCTCAGGCTACAGGAGTCAGGCATACCTGGGCCTGTTACCACTCCACCACATTCTGGAAAGCTTGGGAAAGTAACTTCCCTTATCTGAACCTCAGTTTTACCTTCTACAAAAGAACATAATAAATTCTATCACTGTCATGGTAGGGATTTGTTGAGATTCTATTTAGGAAAAAAAATAATTTTTAGGTTCCTATAGGATCTTAGCCCAAGTGGGTCCCCTATTCTTCAGATTCATGACTTCATGCTTAAGCCCACATAAAGCCTGATATGTTGCCTTCTTCCAGGCATCATGACAACCCTGGATGACAAGTTGCTGGGGGAGAAACTGCAGTACTACTACAGCAGCAGTGAGGATGAGGACAGTGACCATGAAGACAAGGACAGAGGCAGGGGTGCCCCAGCCAGCAGTTCCATGCCTGTGGAGGCTGAGCTGGCAGGTGAAGGCATCTCAGTTAATACAGGTACTGGAAAGTCTTGAGCTCTGGGAACAGATTTTAAAATGTCTGTTAAGTATGTATCACTTAGAATTCTCCTGATCTCTCTAACTATCCCATTTCTATCGATTACCAGTGTTGGCATTCATTGTGTGTGCTTGTAGTCTTTTTACTACACAGTGCAGAGCAACATGACAATGAACAGATTGGCCTGGGTTTGAACCCTATTTGTCAGATTAATAGTTTGATAGGCATAAATCATAGATGTGAGTATATTTGTAGTATAAACTCCTAGAAATGGCATATTTTCTTTCTCTCTCTCTCTCTCTCTCTCTCTCCCCCTCTCTCCCTCTCTCCCTCTCCTTGAACCCAGGGCCTTTTGAATGTTAGGCAAGTACTACCACTGAGCTGTCTCCAACTCCACTTTTTAATATTGTTGAATTTCTGTTAGTTGAGGTGGCACTAATTTATAATTTAACTGGCAGTACAATGTTTCTTATATTTTTCTTCCTGGGTTATCAATTTTTTTGATTTTTGTCATCCTGGTAGATGACAAATAGGCATTTTTTTTTTTTTTTCCCCTAGAGATGGAATCTTGCTTTGTTGCTCAGGCTGTCCATGAACTCCTGGACTCAAGTAGTCCTTCTGCCTCAGCTTCCTGAGTAGCTGGGCCTGTAAGGCAGTATTACTATACCAGACTTGTCATTTTTATGTAAACTAATATATTTGGAGAATCTTTCATTGCAGGGAATAGACCGCCTCATCTTTCTGAGTGTTACTTTATTTTCCCTGAACAGTGTTACTTTATTTCATAATTTCTTTAACTTGTTTCCTAATGTTGGGCATTATCTTGGCCCTTTATTACAAACTGTGCTGTAGCACACCTCTTTGTGTGTAGACCACTCTGCCCTGTGGCACTGATGCACTCCGCAAGAAGCTTTAAGGTCAGTGGACATGATCCTAAGGAGAAGGAGTGCTGTGCCGGGTGCAGTAGTGTATGCCTGTAATCCCAGCAGCTTGGGAGGCTGAGGAAAGAGGATTGCAGGTTCAAAGCCAGCCTCAGCAGCTTAGCAAGGCCCTAAGCAACCTAGTGAGACCTTGTCTCAAAATAAAAAATAAAAAGGGCTGGAGATGTGGCTCAATGGTAGAGCTCCCCTGGGTTCAATCTCTAGTACAAAAAAAAAAAAAAAAAGAAAGGAGAAAAAAAAACAAGAACAAAAAGAGACGGAGTGCTGTGGGGTAGGTGGAAGTTTGGTGCAGGTCTCTGCTTTGTGCAAGCTTGCCCACTGGGGCCTGTTATTGTGTGCCCAGCTGCTTTGCCCTGAACAGATCATGGGTTCTGTCAGTGTTCAGAATATTAGGAAGGTTCTCTGCAACTGATCCAGCCAGTGCCAAGGGTTCTTCTCTCACACTGGTATGACACATGATAAGCACTGCATTCAGAAAAGGAGGTAGAGTTTTTTTTTTTTTTTTTTTTTTTGCCACCATGTTGCCAGCACATTCAGGTATGCTGGGGAGGCTAGAGATCTGGTTTCTCACAAATAGTAAATGATATCTGTCAAAAAAAAAAATGAGTCCTAAAGGGTGATGAAAGGAATTAAGATAAAATTGCCTTCCATAAGGGTTCTAGGCTTCAGTTTCTAACAGGAGTGAGGGATTTTAAAAGTGGCTGTAAAACTCTTTCACATGCCTCCCATTAAGGTGTGAAGTTTATGTCTCCTGCCTGGAAACCTGGATAGACTGGTAACTACTTCAGATAATAAAATGTGATGGAGGTGATACTATGTGACCACCAAGCCTGGTTCATAACAGGCAATGAGGTTTCTGTTTTGTCTACTGGAATCCTTGCACTGGAGCCACAAGCTACCAAGTTATATGCTTATCTATCCTGAGATACCATGTTTGGGGGAAGCACAGATGCCTAGAGAGGACTCATCTATGCACTCTGATTGACAGACCAGCTGAGCTTAGTATGAAGACATTTCAGCCCAGTTGACAGACATGTGAATGAGACTCCTAATGATTCTAGTCCCAGCTGGCAAGTCCTCTTCATATTTTGAGTCTTTTTAGATGAGATACTAGAGAACATGAAGCAGAAACAAGCCATTTCCCCTGTACTCTCTCCTAATTTCTGACCCAACAGAACCTGTCACCATAATTTATTTTATATTTTTTACTACTAAGCTTTGAAGCAGTTTGTTATTTAGCAGTTGTATCCAAAATAGATTTTGATGATAGTGGAAGCCCCTCCCACTCCTGTAGTGGAAAAGTTAATGTCCTTGAGGAAAAAGCCTATCTGTTTATTTCAGTTCATGCCAAATAATTGTTTGTTTTTTAAAAAGACTAATGCTTAGCAGTGTAACATAATAAGCAGATAGCACTTCCCCATCAACCTGTTGCTCACACCTCTCGGGGAGGGGAAGGATTGCACTTTCCAACACAAGCCATCAGCCCCTGGGCTGCTCTTTTCCTGCCTTTTGGTCATGAAGGCATGAGAAGAAAGGAACCTAAAATTTATAAAGGAGCAAGACATATCCACTCCCCTGGGCACCAGCTCTGGGTCCCCTCCTCTCTGTAGGAGTCTCTCCCCCCACCCCCTCCCAGTTCTGTTTCTTAAATAAAATTTACCTTTTGCTCTTGCCTCCGTATTTCGTGGGTGTTTAATCTTCAACACCAGGGGATCAAGGACCCCATCCTGATTTTCAAGACTGGTATCATAACCATTCATCTAACCATTCTTCCTTCCTTCCTGCCATCCATCCATACCACCACCTACTCATTGATCTGTCCATCTGTCTATTTGTCCGTCTATCTATCCACCCACCCAGTCAGCCAAAAAGAAACAGTTAACCAAAATTAAGTGAAAAACTCCTAGGTGTTAAGTTTTATACCAGGCACTGGGCATCGAAAATTAAAGAAGATCCAGTCCCTGTTCTCACTTCAGAAAGTTCATAGGCTTGGAGAAATGCTTATAGCCTGGAAGTTTTGACATGTGCCCGAGTTTGATGTTTACCATAGCCCTTGGTTCAGTGTGATTTCTGTCCTTATAAGGAGATCAGGGCTGGGCCCTTGGTTCAGTGTGGCTTGTGTCTATATAAGGACAGCTGGGAGGGCCTTGATTCAGCATGGCTTGTGTCCTTTTTTTTTTTTTTTTTTAAATGCATTTATTTATGTTTGTATGTATTTATGAATTTTATGTAGTGCTGAGGATTGAACCCAGTGCTTCACACGTGCCAGGCAAGCTCTGTACCACTGAGCCACAACTCCAGCTCCAGTGGCTTGTGTCCTTTATGAGGAGAGCAGCACAAGCTTTGATTCAATGTGACTTGCTTTGTTATATGATTATCTTCCCTCCTATTTAGTTGATGATTGTATTGAAACATTTTGATTCCCTTACCTCTCATTTTGGGTGTGCTCTACTAGAATTTCTTTGTGGTTCCCATGGGGGGGGGTTCCTATTTAACATGAGAAAGACATGCCACTGTGATATAAATCTATAGCAACATGCTTCAGTAGTGTGCAGATGTGGCTGCTATAACTCTCCAGCCCTTCCCCTTCAGTTACTGATGTTACAGTGTTATATAAGGTATTTTTTAACTGTAGAATAAAATTGAGGTGTTTCGATACATTATTCTCTTACTTCTTGTAGAAAACAACAGTAGCACTAGCTCTTTTAATTGTCATGAATTTGCTTTACCAGGGACTTTTCTTTCTTCATCAAGATCTGAGTTTCTATCTAATGTCCTTCGGGTTGCACAGGGCATATCTAGTTGGAACCAACTCCCTGGGCTGTAGTTTATTTCATTCTGTGGTTTGAATGTGTGTATCTCTCCAAAATTCCTGTTGACAGTTCAACATTAATGTGACATTGTTGACAGCTGGTTAGGCCAGGAAGCGCCCACCCCAGGGATGGGATGTGCACATGAAGAGAGCTTCTCCAGCCTGTGCAAAGACTTGGGTTAGCTCCTAGCACTACTCTCCTGTGTGAGTGTGCGTGTGCACGCCATACATCTGGGTACAATGATGTATGGCTGTGATTTGATTAGCTCTATTGTCTCTGTGATCAAAACACCCAACAAGAACAACTTGGAGAAGGAAAAACTTCTCTGGGGCCCACAGTTCCAGAAGTCTCAGTCAGATGGCTGACTCCATTGCTCTGCCCAAGTCCATCATGGGGGAAAGGCCCAGTGGGGGAAAGCCGCTCAGTTCAGGGCAGCAAAGGATCAGAGAGCTTGAGTGTGGATATGATGAGGTCTTTCAAAGCCACAAAGTTATTACAGATTTTCAGACTCAAAATGAAGAGAACACTGAAGTAATCTACAAATTTTAATTTCTAAACAAGTACATATTAGTCTCCATAACCCACTAAAGCAAATAATCTTCCAGAGTCCTTTCTTATTATTTTGAAAGTGGAAAAGGTCCTGGAGATCCAAAAGGGGGTTATGCCCAGGTGTGACTGGGTCATTTCTTACTCTGACCTCACAAGGAGCCATTGTGAGGAAATTTCAAACAGCAGGTATATAAGAGGGTGGCTGCAGCTGTTTTGTTTTGTTTTTTGTCTGTAAGTACAGGAAGCTCTTGGTGGTGACCTGTCGACTCCCAGATATTTAGCACGTTTGGTGGTTGTTAGTGGCTTGTGGCTGTGGTCTTTGGATATTGGTTTTTTAATTTGGGCTTTATTTTATTTTATTTTTGGTCCTTATTTATTTTTTTTAGCTTGCATCCTTGTTCCAGTTTAGGAATGAGCAGTGAGAGTAGTTAGAGCAGTGTAGTGCTACAGGGGTGGGGCTCCTGTTAGGAGCCAGCCTCCATGGATGGACCACTATATGGTCCTGCAGGACTTTGGAGAAGGGGGCTTTGCCCAGGTGAAACTTGCCTGCCATCTCTTCACTGGGACAGAGGTTGTGGTAAAGGTCCTGGCAAAAGTAGCCTCGAACTTCCCCTTCCTACCTGAACTGGATCTGATGGTGGCCTTGAACCACTGAAACATGATCCATTTCTTCCAGGGCATCGAGACCATGGAATATATCTACCTTATCATGGAGCATGCAGGTGGGGAACAGCTATGGGACCTCATCCCCAAAGCTGATGGCATGTAGGAGGTGGAGGCTTGCAGACTGTTTAGGCAGATCATCCATGCCATGCAGTATTGCCAGGACAAGGGTAATGTGCATCTTGACCTGAAGCCAGAGAATGTGGTGGTGGATGCCAGCGGCAACACCAAACTCACTGACTTTGGCCTGAGCACCAGATTCATAGCTGGGAAGAAGCTGAATAGGTTCTGGGACACTGTCCTATATGTTGTCCCTGAAGTCATCCATGGGAAGGAATACAAGCACTACCCCCCGCCCACCAGACGTCTGGATCCTGGGTGTCGTTCTCTATGTTATGCTCACAGGGAAATGCCCATTTGAGGCAAGCAGCAATAAGCAGGTAAAGAAGCTGATCATACAGGGAATGTATGACATTCCCCCTGTGGATTTCCAAGGAACACAGAGCCTCATCAATGAAATCCTGACAGTGGACCCCATGTAGAAGCCCACCCTAGAGACGTAATGGGGCACCCATGGTTGAGCCAGGGTGAGGAAGCTGCTTCACTTAGTCCTTATAGTAAGATACTCCCCAAACTCCCAGATCCCGTAATTACAAAAATCATGATCGACATGGGTTTCCACCCCAAAATACCTGAGTGTCTGTGGCAAGTTGAAGATTTGACATCACGATGGCTGTGTACCTCATGCTACAGTGCCAGAGAATCCAGGAGGCAGGCCCTGCGGATCCTCCTAGAGTCTGCCTTGAGAAGCGTTGCAGTGAGCCTTCCCTTGCCTTGTGAGCAGCAGCAGCCTGAGGAGACCAAGCAGTTCCCACACAAGGGTCCTGGAAGTGCCAGTGTGCCTGCCATTCAGCTCTGCATCCTCCATGTGGACATACTTCCTCCCAGCCTAGCCTCCCAGCAGGACCCTGTGCCCAGCAGCTCATCCTTCCAAGGCACCTCCACAGGGCAATCCCAGGACAGCAGCAAGGGCTGGAAGAGGCTGCATACCTTGCTTTGGTTGCTAGTGTTCAGGAAAAGAGTGGCTCCAATGGAAATGCCCAGCCAAGACAGACAGAACTGAATGACAGCCAGAGGACCCTGAGCTCTTGGATTTGACATCATGGTGTGGGAGTGAGGTGTGCCTACTGGCTCAGGCTTCTTGCACAGATTCCAGGCCGAAGTTTATCTGTATCCACCAGGAGTCTATTCTGCCCCCGCCCCCTGCAAAACACATCATAGAGACTTTTCCCTAGGACACTTTCCCCTTCTCTGCTCTTTGTCCTTTCTCTTATGCTTTGGGAGAAATTTATTCTGAATTCCTTTTTTTCACAGATTGTATAATAAAATTGATGTTTCAAAGATTAAAAAAATAAATATATATATATATATATATATATATATATATATATATATATATATAGTGTGTGTGTGTGTGTGTGTGTGTGTGTGTGGTTGTTTTAGAGATTGGCTTCAGGGAAAAGGCTGGAGCCCACCGGCGATCCTCTATCCTCTCCTAGGCCTAGACCACTGTACCTCTCTCTATTGCTCACTGTATATACTTGCTCACTTTGAGCCAGGGTAGACGGGGACTTACTTGCCTTAAGCCAAGGTAGACATGGACTTGCTCCCCTTGACAGAATATAGGCAGAGATGCTCCCCTTGAGCCAGTGTAGACTTGGTTCACTTTGAGCTGAAGGAATCCTTTTCCTGGTCTTCAGACCCCTCCCTGAAGTATGTGGGGAGGATGTGTTGCAGCTTTGGGCAAGGCATTGGAGATTCCAGAGTGTTCTATGGCTTCATCTACATAATCTCATGTGCAGGAATCGAAAGCTGGGCCAGTGGGCAGGGCGGGCCCCGCAGCAGCTGAGTGCTTCACCACATGCCATGCAGCCTCCACACCCAGCAGCTCCTTCTGGTCACAGCTAAAGGTCATGGAGAGAAACACGTGGGATCTAGGGAGTGGAGATGTGAAATCTCAGGGATACTACTTACATATAAGCATAGTGCCTTATGTGGAATCGCTCTTATCTTTGGGTTCTGTTGATAGTGAATTTTGTAAAGTGAAGTGAGCACAAATAAAAAGTAAGAGACACTTGGGTTAGAACTAGAGGTTTCGTGCACCTTCCAGCCCCTGGCATCTCTGCTCTGTGAGTCCCAGAACTTCTCTGGGCAGCTTCTTCCTGCCCTTTCTTCCCTTTAGTGGTCAGAAATTGATATCTTTTAAACAAAGACATCCCATATGTCATTTCAATAGTTTGCCATTTTTCCTTGAGCCAAGAAAAATGTTTTAAAGAAAAATACTCTATCATGCTGTTTTAATCACATTCATTATTTGTGTCAGGAGATAAAGGAATAAGTATTATCATGTTGATATAACAATAGATTTTCTCCAGTTAAATTTATCCAGAAAATTGCTCTCGATTTATAAAATATAGCTTTGAGAATTTTAGTTTTTATAGCATTTCAATAATGATTTGGGATGGAAGCATTTTAAATAACTCTAAGTTTTATAGTTCAATTTTGTGTGTGTGTGTGTGTGTGGGTGTGTGTGTGGTGCTGGGGATTAAACCCAGGGCCTTGTGCATGTGAGACAAGCACTTTACCAACTGAGTTTTATCCCCAACCCTTATAGTTCAATTTTAAAAACTTTTATAATAATAACAGGGTACCGTTAACAATTTTTGTTCATAGCAAAATGTTTCCAAGGATCTCCTGAAGAGTTGGTAAGAAGGTAGCCCTATCATGGGCTATGTGCTATTTCAGTTGAAAATGCTATGTGCTTATCAAGCCCCTGGTCATAGACATGGCAATTAAACTCTAAAACTGGCAGAAGGTTTTGTTTGTTGAGAATTCCTTGTTAACATTGAAGACTCTGGAAGCTAGGCTAGAGCTACAATTTCTGCTTTAACTTCCTTGTGCCTCATTTTCACAAACATGAAAGGTGGGCAGTAGTAGGTCCCACAGACAGGACTGACTATGGTTCAACTTAAGTTATAAGTTGGATACTGCTCAGACCCACGCTTGCCACCATCCCATATGTTCATGCATATGTAATTAATGAATAAATGATGATTTACCATAACATGATTATACAATTTTCAAAGAAAGGCCTGGTTTTTAGGAAAGTATTGAGTTTAACTAAGGCTACCTTTATGTTATATGATATGAAAAGCAGTTTCCTTCCTGACCTGACCCAAGTCCTGAACATGGTCAATTTTAATCTGATCAGAATCACCAGAGTTAAGAAGATGTGAAATATTTTAATCACAAATGGGAGTTCTTCAAAGGCATTTGGTGGAGAGAATATGAAGTTGCATAAAAGATTTATAAATGCTGAAAAAAGACTGAAATATTTTGACGATATCGGAGAAAGGGAAAGAGGGTGTTTAGGATGCATATTTAGGAAAGCAATGAAGGTTAGATTGCACCTTGTATGGGTACTGCTATGTTGCTATACCTAGTCATAGTACGTGGAGGTTCTGTGTTAGTTGTGCAAGCTTTAGACAGATGTGAGCTCCCACCTGCACAAGTGAGCTGCTCCATAATTCTTTGCTCATTATTTTTGGTCACAATCATGTTCATGTCACTCAGGTCCAAAAGGTGTGATCAATGACTGGCGCCGCTACAAGCAATTGGAAACTGAGCAGAGAGAGGAGCAGTGCCGGGAGATGGAAAGGCTGATCAAGAAGCTGTCTATGACCTGCAGGTCCCATTTGGATGAAGAAGAGGAGCAACAGAAACAGAAGGACCTCCAGGAAAAGATCAGTGGGAAGGTAATCAGCAGCCCTAAGCTTTTCTCAGAAGCTGCCCTGGCCACTAGAACTGGGTTTGGTGATTTGGGAGATAGAGGATGTTGGTTTTGCCTCTGAGAAGCTGTGCAGGACAGGGGAAAGTATAGAGCCATGTCATAACTCAGACACACCTGGGGTTTGACTCTCAGCTCTGCCATTAGTGATTGTGGGGAAATAAATTTCTTCCTTTCTGAGTTTGGTTTTTGATTAGTTTATTGAGGTCACGCCCACCCCAGAACTGTGTGGATAAAATACCCATTGTAGTGACTGGCCCACTGAAAAGTGCTCATTTAATGTTAGTTTTCTGTCGTAGGAACTGAGATTCTAATTCAGATTTTCTCGTTCTTTCTGTGATGTTGCTATGTTTCATCTGAAGCCTATCATGAGGATTTATTCTGAGGAGGCACTAGAGTAGAAGCAGATAGGCCCTCTGGAAGATATTTGGAACAAGGTCCCTGACATTTCCTAATACCTTCTCAGTATTAAAGGGCCTCTGTTACTCACATACATGGAAGAAAGTCTAAGAGTGCCCAAGATCAGTTAGGTGTGGCCCAAAGCCAAAGCACAAGCCAGGATCAGGGAGCATTAAGTCAGGAGTCATTCACCTTGACCAGAAGGATGATTTCAGTGCATGAAAGTTGGCAAAGACCATAATAGGTCTGTTAGAAATACCTGGCTGAGATAGAGTGGAGAGCTATGTGATGGGAAGAAAATTGGTAATAAGTATGACCCAGTAATGATGTCTGTTCCGACCTAGAGTGGGCCCTATTCCCCACCCCCTAATCTGTACAGGATTAGGCTTAGTGAAGGTTTGTTACAGGGGCGTCTTGCTGCACCCCGGCAGGAGAAGGAAGATGCCTTTGTAATGTAAGCTGGCCATTGGGCAGTGTGCCTGCTTTGCTTGGCTGCTTTCTTATCCTGGGCTGAAGGACCAGAACGAAGCCATAATCACATGACCACATGAATCAAGCTAGTGAGAGGCTATCTTTGTCCTGCTGAATTACCTACAGTTGAATAGAACTAGAAACTGCCTGAATGCCAGAAATAGGGGAGTGGTTAAGCAAAATATGACACATATATAATTTTATAAAACTATTTAGAAACATGAAGAGATACTTAGAATTTATTATTAACATTAGCTAAGAGACCGAGTAGGTTATATCTTAATTGGTACACCTATGGCTTCTGTTTTAAGAGTTGAACTAATCTAGCATGTGACTGATAATAAGAAGAAAAATTTTAGAGTGTATGTGAATGTGTGGGTGTTTGTTGTGTGTAGAAGTGTTTTGTGCAGGGCAGGGATTATAAATGTTCTTTTGAAGTTACATAATGTCCTGTTATTTTTTATGAAAACAAATCAGTGAATAAAGCAATCCACTGTCAAGACTGACAAAATGAAAATAGCTCAGTGAAGTGATACCATCTGATGATGCCTGCTTGGGTTGAGAGGCAGTATGGTGTAATATAAACCAGGGTGTTGAAAATCTAGTTTGAGTCCTGGTCTTACACATACTACTTGTGTGAATTGTGCAGCTAACATAAGTCTTGAAACCTCATTTGTAAAATGAGAATTATAAAATCCCTTTCCCAATGGGATTATTGTAAGAATTCATTGAGAATCAGGCATGGTAGCATTCACACAAGTAGGCCCAGCTTGTTGGGAGACCAAGGTGGGAGGATTGCTTGAGTTCAGCCATTTTGGGCTGGCCTGGGCAACATAGTAAGACTTCCTTTTCTGAAACAAAACAAAACAAAACAAAAACCCAAAAAAACCCCAAACAATCCCAAACCCTCCTAAAATACAACAACTTATTAAGACATAATGCACATAAAGTGCTCAGTGTGGTGCTGCACATATCTTAAGTACAAGGTGCACATCAACATTTATCAAGTGTTCACTTGTGTCTACTTACCTGCTGGTCCTCTTACAGATGACTCTGAAGGAGTTTGCCATGATGAATGAGGACCAAGATGATGAAGAATTTCTGCAGCAGTACCGGAAACAGAGGATGGAAGAAATGCGGCAGCAGCTCCACAAGGGGCCCCAGTTCAAACAGGTTTTTGAAATCCCTAGTGGAGAAGGGTTTTTAGACATGATAGATAAAGAACAGAAAAGCACCCTCATCATGGTCCATATTTATGAGGATGGCATTCCAGGGACTGAAGCCATGAATGGCTGCATGATCTGCCTGGCTGGGGAGTACCCAGCTGTCAAATTCTGTCGGGTGAAGAGCTCGGTCATTGGGGCCAGCAGTCGGTTTACCCGGAATGCCCTTCCTGCCCTGCTGATCTACAAGGGGGGTGAATTGATTGGCAATTTTGTGCGCATCACTGACCAGCTGGGGGAAGATTTCTTTGCTGTGGACCTTGAAGCTTTTCTACAGGAATTTGGATTACTCCCCGAAAAGGAAGTCTTGGTGCTGACATCTGTGCGTAACTCTGCCACCTGTCACAGTGAAGACAGCGATCTGGAAATAGATTGAACGGATGGTCTAGTTGCATAGATTTCTCATTGTTTGGGCTGGAAGATACATGTCTGTGTTTATTTTTGTTCCTTCTGTGTCTTCTGACTTTTCAGCTGTTCTTTGTAGTCCTTTTAGTTATAGTAGAAAGACAAGAAATTCTTAGATTAGATCAGAATGCTGAATTACTTTGTGGCTAGCAATAACGTGACTTTAAATTGCATAAACAGGAAGCTAGGCTTTGAACTGTTTACTTAAGATTCTCTAGCATGACATCTCTGTTATTGTTTCCAGTCACTATTTACATAGCATTCTAAAGACTGTCCTGGAAATTGTCTCCTGTTGACCTTGGAGGTCCTGCCAGGTCTGAGAGTAGAATTCTCTAGTTAGTATGTTATTTGCAATGTAAATAGTATATTTCCTTAATCAAATGATTGCAATTATATTTACTTGTAATTAGATTCCCCCAGTTGCTCTGCTCTACCATGGTCTTATATAAAGGTTCCAGATGAGGCTGGGGATATAGCTTAGTGGTAGAGCACTTGCCTAGTGGTGCAAAGCCCTGGGTTCTACTCCCAGGGCTTTGTTTTGTACTATAGAAACAGTAAACAACCAAAAACCCAAACAGCCCACACAGGTTCTAGAGGATGTGTGCTTGCCCTGTCAGGAGGGGTGGCCTCTACGGCTAGAGTCAGTGCCCTGCTCAGCACTCTGAAATCTAGAACAGGAGAAAGGATTTATGCTGAATGCTGTCCTCATGCTGGAAGACAAGCATCTTTACAAACACTGGAGCTGGGTGGAGCTGGAGAACTTTCAGTGAGGTGCTTTTTCTTGTCTCTGTGTCTCTGTTATTTAACAAGGTAACTTTTTATTTACTCTAGATTTTTTTTTAATAAACTGGTCTTTTTGCATATTGAAAAATAATTCATATTTAATAGAGGAAAATTGACCAAAATGCAGAAAAAAATCTAAAAATTAGAATAATTTTTAATTCTATCATCTAGAGTGAAGCACTATTAATGTTCTGATATACTATAAATATTTCTTACTAAAGCATTTTCTGTGTATACCTACACATTTCATTGATTTGAATTATTGGGATCATTCTGAACATACTGTTTTATAGTATGATCAACTAATAATATATCAGATTTTTTTCATATTATTAAATACTATAACATTTTAACTTTTTTTTTTTTTTAGTGGCTATGATATTGTATAGATGTGCTGTAATTTCCTTGAGGCAAGAGGATTGTGAGTTCAAAGCCAGCCTCAGCAAAAGTGAGGTGCTAAGCAACTCAGTGAGACCCTGTCTCTAAATAAAATAGAAAATAAAGTTAGGGATGTGGCTCAATGGTTGAGTGCTCCTGAGTTCAATCCCCGGTACCCCCACAGCCCCCCCCCCCCAAAAAAGCAAACACTTTTTAAAAATTATTATGAAAGTAGTAGATATTTAGTAGAACATGTGATAAGAGTTGTTAAGCAAAGGAGATTTAAAAAGCCATATAATTCTGTTAACCAAATTAATCTCTGTTATTATTTTTACAGGTTTATCTTTCTGGTCTTTGTGTTTATTTATAATAATAGTTGTTAAAAAAATAACAAGTGAAAGTAAAATTTAAAAAACGATTGTTATTCAAGTTGTTTCCTACTTAAAATGTATATCCTGGCATCAGGGAAGATGTAATCTGGAATTAAATATTAGCTTTAAAACTCACAGTTTTGGTTTTCCTCGTGATTCAGGAATTGACTAACTGTAGAAAAGTCTTCAAAGCATTTAATCAACAAAAAGAATGTGGTTTTTCTGACTAGGGAAGTTCATTGTAGAAAGTGCTGAAGGTTCAGAAAATGATCAGAATCAGAGACAACTGTTACTAGTGTTCTAGGTTTTTTCCTTCTAGTCTTTTTTTTTCAGTATTTTTCATAACATTGAAAGCTTCTTGAATTTAGTTCTGTGCTCTGCCTTAATATTATATGATAAATACTTAGACATGTTATAAAAATTCTAAATAAATAATTTTTAATGGCTTCAGGATTTCCATCATTTGGATGTACCATAATTTATTTAACCAGTTCTTTTATACTGGATATTTCAATTCTCAGTATTTTGCTAAAGCACTTATCATCTTTGTGTTTTGGGCCATTAGACGTCTTGAAGAGGGATCACTGAGCAAATGGACAGCAACATTTCAGAACAGCTTTTATAGTCCATCTTCTGTTCTCTCTGGAAATGAAAATAAACACACATACAACAATGACTGCCTTTCAGGAATAGAAATTCTAAAATAAAGGGAATGGACATGAGATGGGGGAATCCTAAAATATCACATCTCTGACTCAGATGTAGTGGAACTGGCATGGAATTTGGAGTCAGGCAGATCTGAGTTTGAATTCTGATTCTGTCACTTGTTCATTCTGTAGTTTCTGGTGAGGAACACAGCCTCCCTGAGGCTCAGATTCCTCATGTTTATAATGAGAATAGTCACCTGTGGAGCTGTTATGTGACAGTGGTTGTCATATATGGTCCTCTAGTGAAATTGGCAGCATGGGGTGGGTGTGGGGGGTTATGAGAAATGCAAATTCAGTGGCTTCACAGACCTACTGAATCAGGAATGCTGAGTGTCCTGGCAAACTGTATGACAAGCCCTCCAGGTGATTCTGAGGCCTAAGTTGGAGGAGCACTGACCTAGGGATGAAGGGGTTGGTGACTGTCCCCTCTCGACTGGTTCCCTGCTACTGGTATCTTTTTTGAGTAAGAGTTAAGGAGAGAAGGAGTTGAAAGGGTAGTATGCAGATTGATTCTCTTCCTCTTATTTTATGTAATTCTCCTTTTTAACTATGGAATTGGAGGAAGAAAAAAGGAACTAATATTTATCTATCATAAATCATTATGGTTTAGGTATGAAGTATCTCCCAAAAGCTCATGTGTGAGACAATGCAAGAAAATTTAGAGGTGGAATAATGAGTTATGAGAGCCTTCATTCTAATCAATGCATTAATCCCCTGGTGGGGATTAACTGGGCAGTAACTGTAGGCAGGTAGGGGGTGACTGGAGGAGGTGGGTCATTGAGGGTATGCCTTTTGCATTTTAGATGGTGAGGGGAATCCCTGCTTCCTGGTTGTCATGTCCTGAGCTGCTTTCCTCTGCTACAATGTTCAGCCTCACCTTGTGCACAAAGCAATGGAGGTGGCTGTCTGTGGACTGAGACCTCTGAAACCATGAGCCCCAAATAAACTTTTCTTCTTCTACATTGTTCTGGTCAGGTCTTTAGGTTATAGTGTTGAAAATGCAAACTGTGTCCTAGTAGTTTTCAGACTTCACTTTCCTCCAAAATGAAAGTTCTGCAAAGGCCTGGACTTTGTTTTACTCCCTATGTGTGGTGTAGAGGGTAAGGGCTTAGACTCAAAACAGGCTGACACTGACAAGGATTTTTTTTTTTTTTCTTTTGTGCTGGACATTGAATCCAGGAGTGTTCTACCACTGAACTACACCCCCAGCCCCTTTTTATTTTACTTTGAGACAGAGTCTCTATATTACCAAGGCTGGCTTCCAACTTGTAATCAATCTTCCTACCCCAGTCTGCTGAGTAGTGGGATTATAGATGTACACCACCATGCTGGGCTCTGTGGCTTTTTAAAGAGCCCAGGCCAACAGTTTTATAGAATGTTGCACATTCTGTTTCTTCACTTTGGGCAATAATACAACCAGAGGCAATGTGAACTTCTTACTGCCTCAAGTCTGGGATTAGTAAGGTTAGTGTCTTTCAAAAGTTCATGTGTTTAAGAATTGGTCCCCAACATGATGGTATAGGAAGTGCTGTGGACCTCTAATAGTTGGGGCTTAGTGGGAGGTCTTTAGGTCTTTGGGGCATGTCCTTGAAGGGGATTGGAGGACCCCAGGCTTTGAGCCTCTCTTTGCTTCTTGGCTGGTGATTGAAGTAGTTTGCTCCACCACCTGTTCTCACTACAATGTGTCACCCTGCTGAGAGGCCCAAAGCATCCAGGCCACCCAGTTTTAGACCATAACCTTCCAAACCATGAGCCAAAATAAAACTTAGTGTCTGTCTGCCTGTCTCTCTCTCTTGTGGTGTTGGGGATTGAACTCAAGGCCTCGTACATGTCAGGCAAGCACTTTACAGCTGAGTTACATCCACAGCCCTTTTTAAAAATTAATTTTGAGACAAGGTCTAAGTTGCCCAGGCTGGCCTTCAATCTTCCAAGTAGCTGGGATTACAGGTGTGCACCACCATGCCCAGTTAAAACTTTTCTCTTAGAAAGTTAATTACTGCAGGTATTTTTTTAAAAATATGGTTTTAGTTGTTGATAGGCCTTTATTTTATGTATTTATTTGTATGCAGTGCTGAGAATTTAACCCAGTGCCTCACACATGCTAGGCAAGCACTCTACTACTGAGCTACAACTCCAACCCCGCACCACAGATATTTTGTTACAATAATTCAAAGCTGACTAACACAATGGCAAATCACTATGCTGTAAATTTATTTTCTCCAGTAGAGGTAGAAAGTAATCTTTGATGTGATGATTTGAGACTAGGTGAATATTAATTTCTCTCAACAAACTTTCCCCTTATAGTTTTTGCATCCATTGATAATTTTTTAATAATTCTTGCCTCAATCAAATTATTTATGTTTGGGGATGCTTAAATGTGATTTTTAAGTTATTTTATTTCCTTTATACTTACTGTAAATCTTCTGCAGAAAAGGACTCTACTTTCCATTCTCTCTCTCTGAGTTTCACTGTGGACTTAACAGATCTTAAAAAATTCAGTGTCTATTACCATAATTCTTTTTGGTGCTTTTCAAGACCATTCCTGTATTCTTTGGAGATGACCCAGTAGTTTTTTTGAGAATTCTGATACTCCCAATGGAAACTCAGTTCCCAATGGATATATTTACTCACTTTTATTATCATAAAATATACACATAATAGTTACATAATTGTGCCTATGCCACTAGCAATAACTACTATAGGTAAAAGTTTCCAAGATTTCCCTTTGCAATCATGATTATATTTTTGACCTGAAAGTGTTTCCTGCTGTGTTAGTGCTCTTCAGAGAGACACAGCCAACAGAATAGATATAGGTGTTAAGTGGGGTTTTCTTGGGGGGATTGAATCATGGGATTATGGAGAGCCCCACAACAAGTTGTCTCGGGC